CACACAAACCCACTACCACCCCAAAACCATCACCGCCACTATTATCTCCTCCACCGCCACTTTCATTCGCATCACCCAATAAATTTTTTCTTCCATCTTTTCTTCCTCCATCTCCTCTTCCTCATGGAGAAACTTGATAAATTTGAATTGTCATGGAGATGTCAACTCCAATATACTGGGGTTTCAGGATGACATAGAAGAGAGAGAAAAATTGAAAACCCACAAATGTCTTCTCTAGAAAAAGAAACCCATAAAACCTCAAAATGCACGATTCGCCAATGAAAACCCAAAAAGCAAACCTATCGATGCCGCCGTTGAAAACCCATAAAGCAAACCCAAAAAATGGGCGAAATTTGAATTAAGAGGTGATTTTTGTGAGTGATATGGTGGGGTGTAATAGGGAAAATGTATGACCCTAATCAGATCGCCTCCAGGTTTCAGGTTCCATCTGACTGATGAAAGTTAGTGGTGATGGTTTTGGAGTGGGAGTGGGAGTGGGAGTGAGAGGTGGGTATGTGTGGAGTGGATGGAGAAGAAGAAGTTGGTTTTTGATTTTTAATTTTAATTATTTGATTTTAGTTATTTTATTATAAAAAATGTAAAGTTATCATTTTAACTTTTTGAAATTAGTCAAAATTATTGTCAATGCCAATTATTTGGTCAACTAGTGGTCAAAATAACAGATCCATTCATTTAGATTTCAACTGTGACATTTTAAAATATTTGGTATCATGATTGGCACAAATGAAAGATTTGGACAAAAATACTAAATGAAATATTTGGCACCGCTGCTGCAATTATTCTATTTATTTATGATAATTTCCAACTTCGTTGACTACTTTGGACTTTGGCGTCCATAGTACTGTGCGCAAAATAAATGATTAATCGAAGTTGTAAATTAATAGTCATTTAATGTGATGAACACATTTTGAAACGTGTAACCTTTTACGAATTTCGTGCATATTATGAAAGTGATTGGATTATAATTTAAGTTGATTAAATTTTTATTTTTATTTTCATATATGTAATATTCATAATTATCGTCCATATATTACATAGATATCACTACTATAATTATTTAAATATTTATTTAATCACTTTTGTTACTCATAAGATAAATTAAAGGCTGCACATGGCACTAATTAAATTACGTGACAGACAATTTGGGGGCTCCACACCTTACATAACGACACGGACGACCCAATTATATAAAGACAACCCTGTTGAGATGTAGACGACCCCCTTTTCTCCATAGAACAAGACTAGACCGACCCCATTTCAAGCAGACCCCTATGTAAGAATCGGTCCTAACGAGGCGATTGTAAGATCCTCAACAGATCTTGTGTTGAATGATTGACAAGACAATTCACGCCATCGCCGCTTCTGTACACCTATATGGACAAATCTAAGCTGCCAAGCTAGGCTTTATGGATATGAAAGTGACCCTAATATTTAATGCCTTGATTGATTGATGTATGCGACAAGAAAGATCAATAGGTCTGATGAGGCCAGGTGCCCAATCATCCGACGGGCCTCATTCATCTTGCTAAAGTATAAAAGCTCACACTTGGTGTCATTGAAGGGTAATGCAAATTTAAACTCTTAAAGCTATATTATTGCTATATGCATTTTTATTGACTCCCAAGTCGACCCCCCATTTTTATTGATTGAAGGCTCACGTTCAAATCTCTCTCACACCCTAGTTATTCCCCTAACTGACTTGATAGTCAGACTGTACGCGGCTAACTCCATCAAACCCCAAAGAAAGTCACGTGTAATTAACGGTTTGTCCAAGTGTGCAGGAACCCAACTTACGTGGACGTGAGAGGTTTTGATAACTGTTTGCCACATCATTGGTACATTTTTTGGGGTTAACAACTTTCTTGCCATGCACTACATGAAACTAATTTGAGTCCCAACTTTTAAGCAAAGTGCAAACCTACTCCCAAACCATTTTTTGTTCGGTTTGTGCCCTTATTCTTTGAAAAATTATCAAACTTGAACCTCTGTTTGGTGAGACTTAAAATAAAAATTTCAATAGAATTTATTAAAAATTGATAAAATGTATGATTGAAAAGTTGTGAAATCTATGAAATAAGTGATTAAAATTATATGTCGAGTTTAACTTAGGGGGTGTTTGATGGGTATTATTGAGGAAATAATGTATTTTAAATAGTGATATGATGGGGAATATATGGTTAAAAAGTAAGAAAAAATAATTGATGTAATGAAAAATATTATTTTATTGAAGAATATGTGATTAAAAATGAGTTTGGAAAGAATGTGTGTCAAATAGGACCTTAAATTAAAATCTTGATTTTAATCAATACCAAACATGAGCTAAGTATCTCTGAATGATTTTCATTCGAAGCCGCCATCAAGTCAAGTATGAGGACTTGCACATGACTTTTAAGGAAGGACACGAATAGTCCACACACTTAAACCACTTATAAAATAAGTAAATAGTCAAAATGAAAAAGAAAGAAAGAACGAGAAAAATAAATTCAATATATTCCACATTTCACCCCAAACTCCACCTAACACATCCTTCCAAACCAATGTCACGTTGCTAATAGGGAGTCATGACTAAAATGTAAACGAAAAAATTTGCACATAATTTTTTTTTATTATAAAAAATATTTTTTTATAAGAAAATTAATGTATAGCCCAGACTAGTCCACCACTAATTCCGCCCCTAGTAGCCAACCATGACAATGACCACCCCTCACAAACACACTCCTCTTTTCTCTCCAATCTCCAAAACCATTGTCGTCTACAAACCTATCTCTCCACCGCAACTAGGGGATTCTCCCTCTTGGTGGTCTACGGTAGGGGGATGGGGGTTCTGCAGGTGGGGTTGTCTTGTTGAGGAAGATTTTTTTTTTCTTTTTATTGTTCTCTCTTTCTTTTGCCTTTTTGGTCTTTTAATTTTATAATTTCTGGTTTTTTTTTTTAATTTCTTAAGTGGTTTAAAATGCTTGGACTATTTACTCTTCTTTAAAAGTCATGTACAAGTTAGCTTAGTTGACTTAACGATTAATTTGGATGGAAACTGTCCGAAGGGATTAAGTTTGCTAATTTTCCAAACGTAGCGGGCAACAATTGGATAGAAAAATAGTTTGGGATAGGTATGCTAATGCAATTTTACCCTTTTAACAATCCAAAGCACTATTTTGATTCATCTTCTTCCACAAAGTCCACATTTTTTCCTCACTTCCTACCCCTAATCACCGCCCTCCGAATTGTCTCTATCATTGCTTAGGGCCAACTCATCCTTTAAGTAAATTAAACGCTTACTTAAAAGTAAACGTCCATTTCAATCATTTATTGGTGAAATTTTCTAGTCGAATTTTTCTATTGATAAATATTTAATAAATTTTATTTATACATGGAATTTCTATCTGTAAATAACTATTATTTTCTTGTCCCAATTAAGTTCGTTGATAAAGTGACTGATATAAAAGAATAAAACTCACGAGTGATTATATTTTAGTAAATCTTAATAAATGTAATTTAATAATAAAATTTCCATCGTTTAAATGAAGTAATAACATTATAAAATATAAATATTAAAAACATAATAATGTAATAGTTTAATTTACTAACGAAAATGTTGTCAATAAATAAAATGGTAAGATATAAATATCAAATAATAAGGAAAAATTTCATTCAAAATAAATTAATAGTTAACCAAATAAATTTATTAATCGATAATATATAAACAAAAATAGAATATATTTTAGGCTTTAGCTTATACATTCAAAAGTTGTAAATAAATAAAAATATGAAAAGAATGAAATTTTGGCTATTATATACTCATCTCCGATCAATGACAGAAGTAACATCGAAGATGTTAATGGATGTGCATCTGTGATCACCAACGTTGTTGTCGTATAAGTAATTATTGTTTGAATCACTGACAAAGCTTGTCTAAAAATATGGCGCATGTGTCTATCAAATATGAGGACGACACTGACTCACGAACCCACCAAAATTGCAAGTTGGAATAGTCCAACTCGCCATTTTTTCTATTTAATACAATTTAAAATTAAGGTATATATAAAAACAAATATCGTTATTGACGTGTCTGAGGATCAATTCGTTAAATTGTTTGTGAAATATAAAAAAAGATTTACGAATAGATTCTACTAATAATAATTCATGCATCACTATAGTTTTAAGTATATCATATTATAGCCATATCAACTAACTTTATTTTACGTGCTACATGTACATAATAGATTTACGTAATGGTTTACGTACAGACGATATGGCGAGATACGATCAGGTCAGAATTTCTTTAACCAAATAATTGTTTCCCACTCTCTTTTTAGCACCTTATCTGTATATAAACTATTACGTAACTACTTATGTACAAGTAGTATTATTCTTTATTTTATGTTTTATATTTTAATAATTAGGGGTCAGGGCTAGACAATCAGCCTATCATGGTCCATTCATAGCGGCCTAACTCATGAACATGAAGCAACATGAATTAGTTGAGCCGATTTTGATCCGACTGTTAAACTAGCTGGGTTGTTCCAGACATTTGCCACCCGGACCATTTTGACTCGACTATTTCAAACATTCTATTTCAAAACAAAGTCTTTTCCACTAAAAATTAAAATTTAAAAGTAAAGTTTTTTTTTCCAGAAATGTATTCACCTGTAAATGTTTTAGGTATAGGGTGCTGTCAATTTGTAAATCATTTTCATTTTTCGTTACGTGCCATCTAACCTTTCTTGAATTTTCTGCAAGGCTTTAATAATTGAGAGACTGAAATCACACCAAACTAAAAAATCTCACTATACCTTCCAACTTGAAAAATATCTAATCTGTCAGTTTCTGCATACAATGTTCCAATTCTATATCAGTTTCATTTCTCAGATTATTACAATTCCCTTCACTTTGTGGCACAAAACTCACTGTTTAATGTTGTATCCATATCCTCAAGAATATGAAGAGAATTTTCTTTACTCTGGGGACCTCCAACCTTGGCCATGATAATTGATTTCAGGTAAAGTAAACCTTTATCGATTTCGATCTCGAACTTGAATTTATGCTCTGCTAATACATACAGGACCAGTTTAGATGATGCTTTTGGTCCCAAAACTCAATAAAAGAAGTCCCTTTATCCATTTCTTCCTTATCCTAATGACCAATTGGGTTAACTTTCTGTAATTTTATCATGTTGGAATCCGTCAAACACATTCTTGTTTGCCTTAAATACTGTCTTTCCACTGTTGCAGTACTTAATTCTTGCTTTGAAAGGTAGTAGCCACGATTTGAGTGAATGTTTGGTTTACACTATTAGATCGTACTGATTACTAGACGGTTCCCTTGTTTTTAATACCGTCGAGCGCTGTCTAATTCAATGTTTTGAATTGTTGAAGATATATAGAAGGTTGCGATGACGAATAGAAACGCCCTTTTTCGCATCCTCCTTGACACGGATATCAATATAACATCTAGCGACAGCAATAAAACAAGCAGTGACAGCAGTTCGTATAATAAATCGGATGCGAATTTCGACAGCAATATGGTGATAATATTAGCAGCTTTGCTCTGTGCATTAATTTGTGCACTTGGCCTAAACTCTATAGTACGTTGCATTATCCGATGCAGTCGAAGATTTGGGTTCGAGACAGCAGAAGAGGCTGCTGCAGCATCAACAGGTCTCAAGAAAGAAACTTTAAGCAGGATTCCGGTAGTGGTTTACAAATCAGGACTGCACATTCCAGCAACAGATTGTCCAATTTGTATCGGAGAATTCAAAGAAGGAGAAAATGTGAGGATATTGCCAAGATGCAATCATGGCTTCCATGTAAAATGTATAGACAAATGGTTAGTTTTACAGTCTTCATGTCCAACTTGCAGGCGGCCATTGTCTGAACATTCTGCTAATAGTAATGCATGAGTTTGTTAGTGTTGAATTTAGGCATGGGTTGATTTGATCAAGTTCAGTAGGGGTGACAGATTCCGTTTTTCTTGCCAAAATCCTCCGCCGAGAGTGTTACCTCATAGGATAGAGTAACATACATGTTAATTCAGATAATATAGTTACTCAAATGGCAATCTGATCCTTCCTGTTTCAGTATGTATTGAAAGATTAGAAACAGTGATGATCCAAACATATTAATACATAAAAGTACGACGTTGCGAATAAGGGAAAAAAATAAAATAAAAAAACTGTGATTCGGATACACTTATAACTCAACAAGACAATTCTGTAGTTTAACAAGTACAATAATACATATAACTTTATATCAGTTCATGCCGGTCCCAGATTCACCATCTTCACTGTTGTTCTCCTGCATGACGTTTCCAGACAAGATACCCCCTTCATCTGCGATATGTTCACCACTCTCGCTCGCAGTTCGGGAGAGCAAATCTGTTTCCGAGCTTGGGATTTCGTTCTTCTGTAAACCTGCCTTGGATGGAATATCAGCATCTTTGATTAAGGTCGCCAAGCTCATTCCAGCTGCCTCGACTAGGTCATTCTCACGATCTGGATGGCAGTTCAAGTCCAACTTTTCCTTGCAGTCCTCGTCCAAGTCCACTGGGTTTCTGTCCTGGATTCTTTCATTTTCTGGAAGATTCATCTGCAGCAATGCGTGCCCAGCAATGTCATCGTCGTTTTCTAATTTAACATCGACTTGAGCCTCATCCTTTCCAAGGGAAAGCTCAGCTGCAAGTTCTACTTGAGTCTCATCCTTTCCAAGGGCAAGCTCAGCTGCAAGTTCTGATTGCCGTTGTTTCTTACGCAACATGAGTGTCTTGAAACGTCGTTTAACAGTCAAGCAAACATTGCACTCGCACGTGGGCTCATGCTTACCTTTTCCACTTGGAGGCTGAATGCAGACAATGCAAGTGCAACCTGGGCGATGCCTAGGATGTTTCGTAGTAGCTCCAACTAAAGACTCTGCCAAGTCATCCATGTTATCTCCCAAAACTGCAGCAGTTGCCAATGCATCCAATCCCGAAGGTTCTCCATCTTTGGATGCCTTGTTATCTGCACCTCGTCGCCTCTTAGATTCTGAAAAAAGCAAAAGTAAAGCAATGCTACATAAATTGATTGGTATTGAAAGTTATGTAATATTGAAAAACATAGATTNCTCTAAAAAAGGCACTCATATCACTTGAATTAATGTCCTCTGGATTAGAACACGAAGACCTGGAAACAACTCACAGTCATGTATTAAACAAATCTGCTTTAATCAAGCTTGACAAAAATCCCTATATATCTAGTTCAACTATATAAATAGTTCACCAGTTATATTGGCAGCAAAATATACAGCCAGTTCATGGAAAAACATGGAATTAGTTAGCAACATCTTCATTTATTGCCAAAAATATAAAAATCGAAAGTTGCAAACCTATTTGAGTCCCATAAATTCCCTGAACATGTCCACTTTGCAGGAAGAAGAACATGCACAGGCAACCTTCGCCATTTCGAGCAACTGTCACATTGAGCCAATTGTTCCTGCCCCCTGATAAGCATATTTAATACTTTATCTAGTAGCTGGTATATATGCCCAGTTTACATCATTTATATAGAATAAAAACTAAACCATTTTAACTAGTTCACTTTTCATGCACCAATCTTATCATCAGAATCAAAGGAAACTCAATGACCCCATGAGCTCATTTTCATGTCCTTTCTTCAGCTTTTCAAAGTAAATGCATATGAACGAGAAGTGACAAGCTTAGCAACCAGGTTTGACATCTCGCAAAAACTACCAACATACCTAGATTGATTTGAATTATTTTCCTAAAATATTAGTAAGAGTTTTTAAAAAACAAATTAAGTTCCTTACCCAGAAGGTTGAGATGTAAAAATTGTTCTCTTCCCAAAAACCGGTGGTTCCTAGATAGAAGAATAGAATAAATAAGTATAACAACATATATGCTAAAGGCTGAAACTGAAGGCTCAAGAAACCCCAAGAATAACATTAAGCATGTTTGACTAAGCTTATAAGTTACTTGTAACTTATATTGCAAAAAAAGTTTGAGCTTTTTGTTATTTACCTTTAATTTTTAGAGATTTGAAGTTCAAAACTAAATTCTATAGAAGTCAATCTATACTTACTTTCCACAAAAGTGCTTTTACTTCTTTTCAAGCTTAGTCAATCATGCTATTAGAAATTAAGAAGCATATAAACAATATGGTCCTATAATGAAGATAAAATTTTCAGATAAAAACTATATTTACGTCATATTCTTCAAATGCATGGTCCTCGATCATGACAACTGTGGGTTGGACAGTGGGAGGGGGACGAAGCAACTCCTGTGCTTCTTCCCATGTTATTCTCAACTCCATAGCATCCTCACTATGCATGAGGAGCCTCTTATTTTTCATATTTCGGGTTTTCTTCTTCTCCAATGCAGGTTTATGCTGTTGCATGGAATCATCACTTGTTTTGGCTCCGTTCTTCACGATTTTCACAAACCAAGGAGTATCTCATTTAACAAAATGTTTAAAAATTAAAAAATAATAATAATAAAATAAATAAATTCAAAATGATAACGACAACTTACTGATAGCAGGTTGTCTGTAGGACCAGAAAATGATGTTTCTCCAGGAGAATCATCATTTGGAAGCGCAGTTGTTTGGGGATCCTAATTTATTGCCAGTAAACTATATATCAGCTATTTCACACAATTAAGAAAATAAAACTAAATTAAAAAAGCAGAGCAATGCTTAAGAAGTCAGACCTGCATATCAACATTGTCCGCAGCCTTTCGACATCCTATGACAAGTCGACCCCCAGGATCTATCCGACTAAATGTCACTGCACCAAAGACAAAGACACACATGATAAGAACGGTATTAAAAAGATCCCAGGGAGAGAACCTAAAACGTTATGAAATTTCCTAGTAAATGTCACCATAAGCATTAAAGAAAGCCAATGATTTAATTCCATGTTGGAAGATTACTAGTTGTCATGCAGCCAAAATGGTTGTCAAACGGGCACTAAATGAGCATGTCCACAGGTATGCATATGAAGAAAAATCACTCTTATGAAACAATAAAACTAATGCAGACGACGAAAATGGCAACCATGGTACTACATAATAGAGAAATAGCTTCAATTTCCAGATGTTGGGTTCAAAAGAGGATACCTGTATCACCAGCTTGTACTTGCATATTTTGGATGCAAGGGGTTACACCCTCCAAGACATACATCCGACTATTATTATTGGGCCAAAATCTGAATTGGAATGTCCACTCTTTCCCCTTTGTGTCCTGAATCCTAATTGGTATACCTTCTGATTGATTAATAGGAGGGAAGTATGCCTGCATAACATTATATTTAAATATACAAAAAACAGAAAGTGCAGAACAAAGTACGAACATCTGCAAGTTTGAAATAACCTAAGAAGCACGGATTTGGATTCGTAATTCCAATATGATATGATACGATTACGTTGATAATACTTTTAAAAAAAAACTAGGATATGCGGATATGTGTATATATATAAAATATATAAATTCAGCATAATTTCATTAATATAAAAAAATTAAAATAGAAACATGATAATAAATATAAAATAAATACTATAGTATTTTATCTTAATTCTTCATTGTCCCAACTTCATTTTCTTCAACACCAGCTTCTTCATTATCATTAAAAATAACACTCTTCAATTCTAACTCATCTAATGATAGATTAACAACTTCAAATATTCCAACACCTTCAATATGATCAAATGAGTCGCTGACAATGTCTTACATTTTGATTTCTCATTTTGAATAAAGATTTAATATTATTATCTATTTCTAATAATAAAAATATATTTGTCAACTATTAACACGACTTTACATGTATTAAAAGATTTAATACTATTGTGTATTTCCAATAAAAAAACTCTAGCCGTCGATTAAATTAAAAAAATGTTCTTGAATAGTTTCTTTCAAAAGGACGTTTGCTTCCTCGGTCAATATCTTAGTAGAGGATATGATTTCTTAGAACTGAAATTTATTAGTTTTTAAGTAAGTGCGTAACTCAACAAGAAATTTCCTTACCTGTCCAATTTTAGATGGATCAGGATAACCATTTGTTCCTATATAAATAGTCATTATCTGTTCTTCTACCATAGGAGCTGATTGAGATTGTTTAAGCAATTCACATAATCGTTAACCTCTTGCAATTAACTAGTTGTGTGTTTCCTATAAATATTATCTATTTTCATTAAGTGCTCGTTGGCCCCCATTATTCCACATTATAATGAGAGGAATAATAATGTTTTGGAGTATGTGTAGTTTAAAAAGAAGGAAATTTTTTTGAATTTACGTATAATATTATTATATTGGATAATATATGATTGATAAGAAGCGAGAGAAAAATGAATTATAATTTAATGAGAAATAATAGAGGTCAAATGGGGGCTAAGTTATTGACAATAACAATAGTTATCTATTAAGTAAATTCTTTTTGTCAATCTATAGTAATTAATAATGAGTTTTAAAAGAGTTTAAAATCAATAAAACTCTAAGTATCGAAAATAATTAAAAAATATGTATCCGATACGTATGAAAATTCAAAAAATATAAAATAATAATAAAAAAAAGTATTCGATACGTTTCGGGGCCTATCGAAGAATATCCAAGCTTGAATATGTATCGGATACGAGTACGTAAAGAATTTACAAGTATCCGTATCTTAGGAAATAACATGCTTGTTAGGGACAATGTCCAAAGAAATAAATGCTCACTTCAGCACATGCTTTCGGGAGGACCAGGCGACCAATTCGACCAGCATCACTGGCACTAAGAACCTTCTCGAACAATGGAACAATAGTCGATTTCAAACTAGAAATGACAGTTAAGGCATATAGTAGATATGGATTAAAGAGGAAAATTTCACTGTTGGTCCTCAACCTATTGCCCCTTTAGCAAGTTAAACTCCCAACCTT